TGAACATATGTCTCTGGAAGTTGTCAGGGGAGCTCAATTCAGCTCTACGCAGTGAGATCACCTCTAATACATATATGATGGAAAAAATCTGAGTAATGAAAACCCATTTATTCTTATCCATTGTCAGGAATTTTCATGGATTCAACTGAGCAAAAACCTCAAAGTTCTGTTCTGTGTCACATTAAAACAGCAACATTAAGTATAAGCTGATCTAATGCTTTTAGGCAGCTGTTAATAGAGCTAAGTGACTCTATTGTGAAATATCAGAATGCCCGAATCTTTTAGTCATTCCATTGGACCAGATATGTGTAATCCCTTCCCTCCCCTATCATCCCTCTTTTTTATATCACCTATATTTAAACATTATTTTAAAATTTTTATTTCCAGTTTCAAATTCCTTTTCTCTTTCCTCCCCCATCCATTGAGAAGGCAAGAAGTAAAATACCCATTATACATGTGAAGTTATACAGCATATATTTCCACATTAGCTATATTGCAGGGGGGAAAGAAAGAAAAATAGAGGAAGTGAAAAAAGTTTCATTCTGCGCAGTCTCTTGAGGCAGATGACATTTTTCCACCATGAGTCCTTTAGGACTGTAATGGGTCACTGTATTCAGAATAGCTAAGTCCTTCACAGCTGATCAATGTTACAATATTGGTGTTACTGTGTACCAAATTCTCCTGATTCTGCTCACTTTACTTTGCATCAGTTCATATAAGTCTTCCCAGGTTTTCCTGAAATGATAACCTTCGTCATTTCTTATAGCACAATAGTATTTCATCTCAATTATATCCCAGAACTTGTTCAGTATCCCCAGTTGATGAGCATTCCCTTGATGTCCAATTCTTTGCCACCATAAAAACTTTTATGCTTTTGGTCCTTTCCTCCTTTTTTTTGGTCTCTTTGGGGTACAGACTCAGTAGTAGTATTGCTGGGTCAAAAGGTGGGTATGCATGGTTTTATAGCCCTTTGGGCATAGTTCTCCAGAATGGTTGGACCAGTTCATAACTATACCAACAGTGCATTAAGGTACCTATTTTATATTATATTATGACATAATATAATATACACCTATATTATGATGTATTGTAACATAATATATTAAAATATATACCCATCGGATAATATAGTATCTATCTATATTATAATGTATACATATAGTATAATGATTAAAAGAACATTAATAACTATCAGCTTACGTCTCTATTTTACCATATTGATAGCATCTTAGAGTTTCCAGCTTCCTTTAAAGCTCAGCTCAAGTATCATGTCCTACAAGAGTATTTCCCCAATTGCGAATACTTCCCTCCAGAAATCTTGTATTTACCATATCTGTGTTATATCTACTTATATGTGGACATGTTTTCCAGGACAGGCATAGTTTCATTTTGCACTTGTATCTCCAGTGCCTAGCACACCACCTGGCACAAACTTGGCACTTAAATGTTGATTGGTTGATTGGACTGAATAACTGAAAGATGGAGGTTCCTGATAACCCAGAAGGCAATGGAAAGATGAATCCTGTGTCCTTGGAGACCACAGCATAGTAGCAACAATGACATACTTGGGACAAGTGGCATAAGATTTCATACAAGAGAAAGATTCAGGAGGCTAGCTGGCCATATGGTGGGAGGGAGAGACAGCAGATAGATAACCTGAGCACTGCCCTAGTACCCACAGAAGAGATAGAGAAGAAGGCCTCTGACCCACTGGGGAGATTTTCCATGGGGGACCTTGGAGAGAATATGGACAATATGTGAAGGCATGGTTGGGTCGTGAAACCATGCAAATTAAAGAAAATTAGTAAAGCATCATTTAGATCCCACTTATTTAAATCTCTCTCACTCTCTCTCTCTCTCTCTCTCTCTCTCTCTCTCTCTCTGTCTCGTTCTCTCCCTCCCTCCTTCTGTGTATGTGTGTGTGTGTGTGTGTGTGTGTATACATGTACACACATACACATACATATATTAACTCCTATTTGTCTCAGTTTCCTCATCTATAAAATGGGGATAATAATATCTTCTACCTCCTAGGGATCTTGTGAGGTCAAATGAAATAACACTTATAAAACTCGTAGCACAATGTCTAATAAGCACAAAGGCACATAGTAAGCGCTATATAAATGTTATTATATACTATATTCATGACTATATATAGGTATATACAGTATATTCCAAAGGTCTTAGTGCAGTTTTAAGCAATTAAAACAAAATCACATTAAGACCTTTGGGACGCCGTCCATATATGGACATAGTTCTAGACTTGTGATTTCATTGTTATAGGGAGATTTAGATAAGGAAGCCCCTTTTAATATTGTGGTGCGTGCTCAGGAACTTACAGTCTTAGACTCTTGATTGTAACTCTTATAAGTTCAGTGAATTTGCCCAGCATCCCATAGCCAGTAGTGGGTCTTCCTCACACTGATGCCAGCACTCATTCCATTATGCCATGCTGACTTTTCAATATAGAATGAAATACAATTAATACTGTAGAGATTGCAGAGGAAATGATTAACCTACTTAAGATGATTTTCAAGAATCACATAGAAGCAAATAAAGAGAATGCTAATTGCCACTGACTTTTATTCATTAGCACAAGTAGGATAGGGCCTCTACTTGTTCATACTTTCAAGTCTAACACATTTCTTGGGACATAGGCTGCAATTAAGACTTTTTACTCCTTCAGCCTCTTCTTTCCTTCCTTCCAGTTAGTTTGAATTATATTAGTAAGCCTGTCACTACAGATTCTATCCATCTGCATTTAATTGCTTTCCTTCTCCAAGTTCTTGCCCATCCCTGGTACATGACCCTGGATGGATGAGATTGGTACAGTTAGGTCATGGGTATCATTTCAGCAAAAACTGGGATAAGGGGAAACATTTGGATGCCTTCTTTATTTCCTTCCTTCCTTCCTTCCTTCCTTCCTTCCTTCCTTCCTTCCTTCCTTCCTTCCTTCCTTCCTTCCTTCCTTCCTTTCTCTCTCCTCTTTCTTTCTTTATTTCTCTGGCTCCCTCCCCCTTCTCTGTCGTTCCCTCTCTTCTTATCTTATCTTATCTTATCTTATCTTATCTTATCTTATCTTATCTTATCTTATCTTATCTTATCTTATCTTATCTCATCTTTTCTTTTTTTTTCTTTCTTTCTTTCTTTCTTACTTTCTTTCTTTCTTTCTTTCTTTCTGCTGACTAAACCATTTTAAGGAGAAAATATTATGAGTGGCTTGGGTGTAAATAATGACTCAGCCTCAATCTGGTTCAAATGGACTAATATGGCAAAGATACAACCTCCATAAAGAAATCTCAAGCTGTATCAGCCCAGCACCATGTGCAGCTCTGCTGATGTGGAGTAGTTCTATTTTCAGATTTGCCAAGTGTCAGGATGAATAGTTGTCACCCATGACTGTGGTATGGTCAGCTTACTGTTATAATAATGAACCTGAACTTCTTCCTAAAGGCAAGAGGCCCAGAAGTTTTCAAGTCTTGAAATTGAAACTAAGGAAAGGAACTATTTATACTGGGTACTTTGAATGTCCTCATCCCCTAAAACAATGCACTAATTATCTTCAGAATGATAAATTTAGATTTATCTTGTAATACTTGAAGAATCCTGATGGTTAGAACAATAAGATAATGGTCAGCCTGGGAAGGTCATTAGGACATAGGGTGCACTCAGGCAAGCTTAGCTACAGAGAAACTTAATGTTTATTCCATCGAGGGAAGTTTGAACTTGACATGACTGTATGGCCTATGGCCTCCAGAGATTAATGAAAGTGATTTCAGTTCAATTCAGCAAACATCTGTAATGTACAAGGCACTGTGCTAGGCCTTTGAGATACAAAGACAGAAGTGAAAACAATATACGCCCTCAAGGTACTTCCATTCTACTGGGATGGAGGTATGATGTAACATCAACACAACTAAGTATGTCCAAAGTAGTAGGAGGACTTTAGAGAGGAGAAGGGTGTAAATAACTAGGAGGATCAGAAAAAGTCATGAAGCACATGACTGTGCCTTCAAGGAAGCTAGGAATTCTATGAAGCAGAAGTGAGGATGGAGTGTATCCCAAATGGAGGGTGGGGCACTCCCTGTTCAAAAACATGGCAGTGGGAAGATTAGCATAATGTACAGGAGACTGTTACCAGGTCAAATCAACTGGATGGAGAATGAAGAAAATAGAATCATATTGAAATGAGACTGGAAGGTAGATGGGAACCTTCCATTTTAAAGGGCCTTAAATTCCAGGTCAATATTTTGTGTTGTTTTTTTTTTTTAAGACAGAATCAGAGAGACACAGTATTTTAGAGCTGGAAGGGACCTTATTATTCATCTACTCCAAACCCATATACAAAAGGACCACCTGCTACAATATAACTGACAAATGGCCATCCATCCTCTGCTTGAAGACATTCAAGAAGAGGAGACTCAGTATCTCCATTGGCAGCTCAATTTGTCCTGACACAAACCTAGAATTTCTGTCTTTGCAACTTCAGTCAGGGTAGCTAGATGACACAGCAGATAGGGCACTGGCCCTGGGTTCAGCAAGACCTGAGTTCAAATCTGGCCTCAGACAGTTGGCACTTACTAGTTGTGTGACCCACGGCAAGTCACTTCACTCCATTGCCTGGCCAAAAACAAAACAAAACAAAATAACGATCAAACAAACAAAACAAAAAACTTCAGTCCGTTGCTCCTGATTCTGTCCTCTGGGACCAAACATAACAATTGTAATCTCTTCATGGAAGCCATTCAGATATTTGAAGACAGCCATTAGGTCTCCCCCGATACTTCTTTTCTCTACACTAGACACTCCCATTCCCTTGGCTTGGTCCTTCTGTGACACAGACTCGAGGTTCTTCATCATACTGGTTGCCCTTCTCCATATTATCAATGTGCTTTCTAAACTTTGACTGAACATGATGTGCCAGGTCTGATCTGACCAGGGAAGAGTACAGAAGGTTAATGACTGCCATATTTCTAGAAGCTTTGTCTCTCTTACTGCAGCTCAAGACTTCATTGGAGAATAGGGCATCACTGAAGATTTTGGAATCTGTGAGTGATACCACAACATCTGTGCCTTAAAGATTATGAATTGGGCAGCTGTTTGGAGGATGGAGTGAAAAGAGGGAGTATGAGTAGATTACTGCAACAGCCCAGGTGAGAAATGATGAACTAGGGTTGAGGTTGTCAGAGTGGAGAGAAGGGAGTGAATGAGAGAGATGTCCTGGAGAAGAATCGAAGCTTGAATTAATATACCATTGGGTCTGTTTTGGAAAATGTCAACCATTCACCAAAATTCATTTGAATGTTTTCTGTTTTTATACAGCAATTTGAAATCTCTCATGTCATCTCACTAATTCACTTAGCCAATGTTCTATATCCTTATTTAGGGAACTCATCCTAATGAAGCTCAAGAGTGAAGGCATAAAAATAATTTTCTGTATCCAGATAGATTTTCTCTTAATCAACCAATCTAGCAAGCCATGGTCTTCAATGTTTGAATTATTTAAGTGTGAAATCATATGTAATAGAGCATCAGACAGAAATGTGGGAGCACGAGTTAGCGATAAGGATCTCAGAGATGCAGGCAGAAACTCTGATTTCCAGTTTGGGTTATTGTTGTTGAAGCTCACTCCTTATGGAAAAACCTCACGATGTAGAGGAAAGATCATTGAATCTGCAGTCCAGAAATCTTGTTTGAAGTCCTGGCTCTGCAATGCTTACAAATTGTGTGGAAACTTGGACAAGTCATTTGTATTTTAAAAATTAATTCTTTTCTCTGAACAGAGACCTATTGACCTTAAACTCAGGTACATGTGGACATAAATTTGACCTTAGAAAGGCAACTATTTGAAAAGATGAATGGATCAAAAGCATAAATACAGGATGACCCAGTTCTCTTCAAAATCCCAAATGGTTTTACAGACATCTAGGTGGTTCAGTGGCTAGATCACTGATACCAATATCAGTCAAGAAGGATATGGGTTCATATCTGGCCTCAGACACTAACTGTATGATCCTGGGCAAGTCACTTCACTGCTATCTTCCTCAGTTTCCTCATCTATAAAATGGGGATAATAATAGCACCTACCTCATAAAGTTATTGTGAGGATAAAAATGAGATAATACTTGTAATCTGCTTTGCAGCTCTTAGCACTAGAGATTATTATCATTTTTATTATTATTTATAAGAGGCAGTTTTGAAATAGTGGAAAGAACACTGAATTTGGAGGCAGGATATGTAGGTTCAGGTCCTGTGGAGCTTTGATTAAGTCACTCAATTTCTTTCAACTTCAGTTGCCTTCTCTTTAAAACGGTGATACTTTCAGTATTTCTCAGACTATGATGTTGTGCGAGCCAAATAAGAGACTGAAAGTAACACATTCTGTCAACCATAAAGTGTTATTGTCAGTGGTAACAACAACGACAGCTTAGCCTGTGCTGAGCTTTACAATACATGTTGAAGTGAGTAGATTCCTTCATGGCTGTCCCTGCAACAACAGAATCGTATTCTGGACATCTGAAGTCATAGGATTTTCCTGCTGTAGCTTCAGTGTTGGGGGAAAAAAGCACTGAGTTAGAGGCAAAGCAGATAGATCCAAACATGCTTCTGCTAGTTACCTGCATGACCGTGGGCAAAGCACTTCCCATTTCAGGGCCAAACTTCCCCCGCATGCAAAATAAATGGGTTGGCATCCATGATCCCTTCTTCTTCCTTCATCTTTAACTCTAAGGTTCCATGAGCTCTTTAGGCATCAGTTTTCCGATCTGGGAAATGGGGATAGTAATATGTGCATTTTCTACCTCACAGAGATGTGAAGAAAAAATGATATATTTCAAATGCTTTGGAAAGCCCTATACACTTGTTATCTATTACTATTTTTCTGTGTAATTATATTAAATAATATATTATGATTATATTGAGAGGGATCACAGTTTAGTGGGTAGGGCACTTGGACTTAGGGAAGACCTAGGTTTAAATCTCATCTCAGACCCTTATTAGCTAAGTGACCTTGGGCAAGTCATTCTACTTGTGTATCAGTTTTCTCAACTACAAAATGAGGAAGTTGGACTTGATATGAAGATCACATGATCCTACATTCTTCTCAGTATCCTGGCAATTTGCTTCTAACACATGGCCAGCCTACATCCTTTTCCAATCGCGTTTCTCCTGAACAGTATCTTTTATGTCATTTCTAGGAGCTCAGGACTCTATATTTGAGATTGATGAGGTATGTGCAATCTCCATAGATTCATGATGCATCTTTCCTGGATGCACCTGGCATCCAGGACTTTTTGGTTCATGCTACTGGGCATCTGTGGTTCTGCCTGGGAAGATGCCCTTCCCGAGCTAAGCTCATTACTTCTGATCTAATTACCATAGGGCTAATTCAAGCCTTGACTAATACCATCTCCCTCAGCCTCCTCTCCCCTCTCTGATGGGAGGGCCAGCAGGTGTAGTACTAAGTTCCTCCCAATGCCTTCCTTTACAGAGGGCAGACACTGAACTCCTGGTTCACTCCATTCAGCATCTGCTGCCTGTTTTAAACTCCATAGAACAAGATGCTCCATGTCACTGGGGGTGGGGGTGGGGAGAGGGAGCTCGTTTTGTGTGTTATCTGTCTCCATTGGAGTGTAAGCTCCTTGAGGTCAGGGACTGCCTTTTTATTTTATTTTTTTAATTGATTGTATCCCCAGCACTTAGCACAATGCCTGACACATAGGCACTTGTAAATTTTTATTGGCTTGGATCTTTCCATGGCCTTCTGGGTTATCTGCAACTTTAGTTTTATAGTTAGGCAATCAGCACAAATTTATTAAGTGTTCCAGGCCTTGTGCTAGGTGCTGAAGATATGAAGACAAGAACAGTCTCTGCCCTCAAGAAGCTTAAATTCTAGAATAGCTACACCACAAGGTTGTTGTGAGCACCAAAGAAAATGGTGAATGCGAGACTGCTTTGTGAGCTATAAAACACTGTAGAAATATTGGAGACCATTAGTGTTAGTTTTGCTGCTATCTAGCTGTGGGATCTTAGCGAAGTCATCTGGCCTCTTGGCCAGTTTCCTTATCCAATGTGAAAGTTGGATTAGATCAACTCTGAAGTGCTTGTAGTCAATGATTTTATGAAGCCCAGTGCACACTTACTGGGTGGGCTGGGAGATTCTTTGAACTGATCTCCAAGGCCTGGCTAAGCTCCAAGTGGCAATGCTTTCTAAATGCAAATGAGAGAGAGAGAGAGAGAGAGAGAGAGAGAGAGAGAGAGAGAGAGAGAGAGAGAGAGAGAGTTGTTCATATGACTTGTTTAGAGAAGTTGTGCCAGAAGAAGAGATAGTTAATAAGCTTGATGGAGGACACAAGTAGCAGAATATAAGACGGATGAAATGCTAATATCTGCTTTTGGGGGAAAATCCAGTAGTTAAGAAGTAGATCAACCTTGGGCTCCTTCAGTCATTGCTTTCCCCTGCCCTGACCATCACTACCCAAAATGTATGTTATACACAGACATCATTATTGGACAGACTGAGCTTTCTTAACACATAGGCAGAGGAGACAGTTCCTCATGGGCACTGTAATAGATTTGGCGTCCCAGAGCTTGGGTTCAAATCCTGCTACTGTGGCACAGTAAATACTGTGTGAGCCTGCTCAGGTTTTTTCCCCATCCTCCACCATGGGCTTCATTCTCCTCATCTATAAAATGAGAGGGTTAGATTAGATCACCTCAGATCCCTTGATTCTGTGATTTGAAAGTAGATTCTCAGCCCTTTTCCAGTCCACTTTAAAAGGGAGGAAAGAAGAGAAATAGGAAGATAGGGAAAGGCGAAAAGAGGAAGTGAAGGAAGGAAGGGAATAGAATAAAGCCTTTAAAAGGGTTAAGAATGAAGCTTCACATTTCATTTACCAAATGCTTTCCTTGTAGCAGTCTTGTGCATTGTGGGATTATTTGCACTGCTTGTTTTCTCAGCCTCTTTTTAACCATGAGGAAACTGAGGCAATGATGTATGAAATGATTTCCCCTCAGTCTTGAGACAAGGATGCAGTTGATTTTGGACTTCTGGCACCCAGCCCTGAGTTTCGATCATGCCAGGCTCAATCTGCACTTGAGGGCCCTCCTCACCCTTCCCCGATTCCACATGGGGGGGGGGGCACGGTTTAGAATTTAAATAAGGAAGTCAACTATATCAAGCAGGAAGTGAGGTGGAGTCTCTGTGCCCCTCCCTCCTCTCTGCTCCTTCCTAGTCCAGCTAATCCCCCCTGGTATGTGTGTTTTCCTGTGATTTCTGACCGTGCTAGTAATGAGCCTGGATGTGCCATATCCTACAACCAGACAAGAAATTTTGTTTGAAATGTGGATTACATTGTGTTGACAAATACTGTTGTTTGTCAGGCATGGCCCTAAACACTGCCATGTGTTCGACATGAAATCCCTGTGGATGGATCTGTCTCCCTGGGATCCCAAGGATACCAATGGAAAGTGAGGATTTCCCTTTATTTTCCCTCTGTGCCTTTTTTTACATGTTACTGTATTTAGAAATGTCCAGGCAGTAGATCTGATGATCCTTAATATTCTTTTCCTCTTTGAAACTGCCCTCCTCCCCCAGCCCCAAACCTTTTCAACACTCCCCTCAGGGACTGTCCCCTCTTCTCCTTCCCTCCCTTCCTTTCTTCTCTTCTCCTCTCTCTCTTCCCCCCATTCTCTCTTGTCTCCCCCTCCTCTCCTCTCTTCTCCACTTTCCTGTCTTTCTTTTCTCTCTCTGCCTTGTCACCTCTTATTTCTCTCTGTCCCTCTCTCCTCTCTTCTTTTCTCCTCTTTTCTCTTCCTCTCCCTTCCTCTCTTTTCTCCCTGTCTTCTCTTTTCCTCTCTCTCCCTCTTTCTCCTTCCCCCCCCCCTTTGCTTCTTCTCTCCTTTCTTTCTACAACTTCCTTCCTTCAAATAAAACTCCCAGGCCCTGAGATAAGGATGCTATTGGGACACACCTCACTGCTCCTTGTGTCTTTGGCAATACATGCTTTCAGTGTGCCAAAAAAAAAAAATCAGGAAAAGGAAGCACATGGAATCATGTTTCCTCAGAACTGAATTCAGTTGGATATCAAATCTTGAGCAGGGCTTGTGAAAAATGTTCTGGTTCTTGGCTTCCATAGGCCTGGACTAATGAGACAGCTGTAGAATGAATCTGGCCCAAAACGTGATTTAAGAAAAGGTCATTTTACTACCTAACTTATTTATATCATGTCTCCAGAGTACACAGAGTTCTGGCAGTGTGCATATTTGAGAGGAGGGAAGGAGGAGGGAATAGGGAAGGAAGATTTCAAGGGATATGACACAAGGCTATCCTATTGGGCCACAGAGAATTATTGTGATAGAGCTGGTATCTGAAAGACCTGACTTCAGCTCCCATCTCAGATACTTACTAAGTTATATGCCCTTGGGCAAGTCACTTCTCAGGCTGAGACAAAATCGAGAAACTGATCTTCAGTTTCATTATCTGTAAAATGGGGGTGATAATACACTTAGCATCTAATTCCCAAGCTTGTTTTAAGGCTCAAATGAGATAATGCATAGAAAAGCTCATGGGAGGCAGTGTAATATAGTAAGAGGTTCATTGGCTCTGAGCTGGAGGGCCTAGGTTCAAATCCCACCCATGATGCTTCCTGTGTGACCTTAAGCATGTCTTTTAACCACTCTGGACCTCAGTTCTCTCATCCATAAAAGGAAGGGCTAGGGCCAGATGGCTCCTGGGGTTACTTCCAGCTCTCGATTCAGGATCTTATGTAAACAGCAGCTTTTATTAAAGAGCGTCTTGGAGCCATTCTTTTGTCCAAAATCATTCTTACTGAGATGATTTTTTTTCCTCTCAGAGCTCTTAGGATAATTACTGCTCTTTTCCCCAGCCCCCAGATGAGGGTTCATCTGGGATTTAGTGAGTGAGGAGAGACTCTGAGTGCATTTCTAAGGTTTTAGCTTCACATGTTGGGTTATTTTAAAGAGCTTATTATTATTATTATTATTATTTTTGGTTTGGGGGTTGGGGGGAGTGATTTTTTTTTAATTTCCCAAAAAGACATATGTTAGTTGCCCTCTAAAAAGACCTACAGTATTTAATATGGAAAGTTAAATATCTTTTAAAATAAAAACAGCTGGGCATCTTGGTTTATCTTCACATGGCTCTGTGTTGGGTATCCTTGTTTAATGTGCAATTTTAAACACATGGGTGGGATTTTAAATACCAAGCTGCTAACAGTGACAAGTAGGATTTATTGGCTAAAACGCTTGTTTGCCCATAACATTTTATATATTCTCTCCCTAACCTGTCATGCTCACTGAAAGGCTGTGACCTTCCTTTTTTTTATCATCCTTTTATTCCATTTTTATTTATCCTTGATGTATTGCAAAAATGGCAGTCAGGTGTTTCCAAATGAAAACCAAATAAAGCGCCTGCCCCTTTCCTTTCCTCTTGAGAACTTCTCTAGTGTTGAGACCTTGTTAAACCTTGAATTTCCCCTGCTGAAAGGTGCATTAAGAAAGAAAACAAAAGGAGCCCCAACAAATGTAAGGACTAGGAATCTTGAAGACCACTTTGCTGCCCCTCCCCTCCAGAATCTTTTCTTTATGACTTTATGTAGGTAATGCCTTTCAGTTCCCCTGGCTAATTGTTCAGTTGTTTGGTAGTGCAGCTTGGATCACCAGACCTCTAAAGTAGCCTTGCCCAGGTTTGCAGAGAAAGTCTAAGAACAAGGTGCTCTTCTCATTGAACGTGTCTGTATTTGTTGAGCCAATTTACTTCTTGTAGAATGGTGGAGTCTGTTGATTTGATGGAATTCCATATCATGCAGATAATAAAGGGAAACATTCTGAATATTAAATGCTCCATGAGAGCATCCTCCCTTCAGATGACTGAACCCTTCCCTGTGCAGCTCCTGTTAAAGTTATTTTGATGAAGTAAGAAAATTTGGAAAGCAGGACTGCAAAGAGGGTCTATTTCTTAAAATGAAGAAGTTGATTGGAGACATGGAAAATATTCCCCTCAAGCCTGGTGGCTGTTTTAGAACAGTCTGTTTCTTTCTGGAAACTCAACATTTTTTCTTTTCTTTTCTTTTTTTTCTTTTTGGATTGATAGTGTTAGGAACAGATGAAGCTCATTGACCTTCTAGACTTGTGTGGGTGATATGAGCTTGAAAAGCAGATAGCTCAACTAAACTTAATTCAACAAGTCTTTATTAAGCATATATTATGTACGAGCCACTGTGCTAGGCATTGATGATTGGGATAGGGAGAGAAACTGGGATGTGGATATAGGGAGGGAGAAGGAGAGAGACCACTCCTGTGATTTTACCGGTAGGGAAAACTACCAGAACTTGAAAATCATTCTATCGTTAGAACTCAGTGCCTTCTCTAGAGTCTTAGACAGTTAATTAGAACACAGAGAGGTATGTATGTCAGAGGCAGGATTTAAACCCAGGTTTCTCTGGTATTGAGGATACAAGGATAAAATGAATTGATTCCTGCCCTCAAGTCACTTACAGTCTAATGGAGGGATACTACAAGTAAATACAAAGCAATCTTTTTTTTTTTTTCAGGACTGAGGCTGCTTAAATGACTCAAGGAATCAGGAAAAGCTATGTCTATGGGGTGTACCTGAGATGATCTTTGCTGAGAGCCAGGGCTTCCAAAGGATGGAGGTGAGGAGGGAATACATTCCTCTCTGTGTTTGGGTATAACAAAGTATGTGACCAGGAGTATTGAATCTGAAGCAGACTGAAGACACATTGTAAAAGGCTTTAGATGACAAGCTGAGTAGTTCGTATTTTTTTCTCTGGAAGCAATAGGCAGCTATTGAAGTTTCTTGATCAGGGTGACGTGGTCAGATTGGTACATTTGGTACCTTGTGCTGGCAGCTGTGTGAAGGATGAATTGTAGATGGGAGAGAATGAAAGTGTAGAGACTATTTAAAAGGCTATTGTAATGATCTAGGCAAGAGGTGATAAGTTAGGGGATTGACCACATGGGTGGACAGAAGGGAACAGACACAAGAGATGTTGTGGAGGTATGTTTTAAAAAACTTGACAGCTGATTGGATGTGGAGATAATGGACAAGGAAAGGTTGAGGATGACACTTAGGTTGCAAAGCTGGGTAGCTGGGAAGATGTTGGTGTCCTCATCAGTAATATCAGCAGAAGGGAGGGCTTAAGGGGAAATATGAGTTCTCTCTTGGACATGTTGATCTGGATATGCTTGGGGTAAAGCTAGTCATCTGCATTAAGATGATAATTGACACTATTAGAGCTAAAGAGAACAACTGATTAGAGGGCAGAGAACAAGAAAAGAGGGCCCAGGACAGAGCCTTGTAGTACACCCATAGTTGTGGCATAGAATATGGATGATCGGACAATTAGGGAGACTGAGGAATGGTCGACAAGTAGGAGAATGGACAGCAGTATCATGAAAACTCAGGGATGAGTAAAGAGGGTGATTAACAGTGTCAAATGCTGAAGAAAGTTCCAGAAGGATGAAGACTGAGGAAAGGCCTTTGGATTTAGCAAGAAGAAAGGAAAGGAATAAGCATCTAATGTGTACCAGACACAGTGTTAAGGGCTTTACAAATATTATCTCATTTGACCTTCACAACAGTTTTGGGAGGAAGGTGTGACTCTCTTTGTACAGATGAGGAAACTGAGGCAAATAGAGGTTAAGTGACTTGCCTGGGCTCACACAGCTAAGAAATATCTGAGACTGAATTTGAACCCAGGCCTTCCTGACTCGGCCTGGTACTCTCTATTGTGCTACCACTATCAATGTCTTTGGAGACAGGAGCTTCTGCTGAGTGATGAGGTCAGATGACAGATACAAGAGATTGAGAAGAGAGCGAGAGAACAGGTGTTACATATAGATAATTTTTTTTTAGTTATTTGGCTGTGAGAGGGTGGAAAAGTTACAGGCCTATAACTAGAGGGGATGGCAGATTCAAATGAGAGTCTTCTCAGGATAGAAGAGAGCTAGGAATGAAGCAGCTGTTTCTAAGGCAACAAAAAAAGTACTAGCAGATAGGTGAGAATTTATTTTCAGAATGAAGCCCCACGGCACTGTAAGATCCTTAATTATTAAAGCAAGTTCATAATTGAGGTAACAGCATTCCACTGAGCCAAGGTACAGTGGAAAGAATGTTGGATTTGGTTGGGTCAGAGGCTCTCTGGTTAAATCTTGCTATCTGTGTGACTTTGGGCAAGTCACTAAACTTACCTGAGCCTCAGTTTCCTTATTTGTAAAGACAGGAGGTTGGCCTAGATGATCTGCTTTAACCTTGGCTCTATGGCCTTGAAAGTGACCCTTGAAATCTATGGCACAGAGCAGGGCTGTTGATCTGGTAGATCCTCCTAAACTAGAAAGCTTTCCAGTACAAAGCAGGCAGGGACTAGAAGTGTTTTATCAGAGGATGAAATTAGCTCAGTTTCAACAAATGCATGGTAATGAATTTTTTTTAGATCCAGTAATCTTAAAGACCTTCTGGAAAGGGATTGTAATATGCATAATGGAGGGAGTACACCCAGCAACAAAGCAAAATGGCTCCAATTGTTAAGGTCTACCTTACTATACTTACTAAGGCAGGAAAGTGGATTGTTCTATGTTACTTCCAAATCACCAAGGTCAGGTCACAAATAGGTTTCTAGTTAGCACTCACGTATCAAGAATTGTTTCCCTGAGCCATGAGGCAAGAGGTGTGAGAACAAAAAGCAAAGTGACTGAGCATATTCCAGAGCTCCCAAGATTTCTTTTTTAAGTTTTCCCTTTCTTGTCTCTACTACAGTGATTTACAGTCCAGTTTGCTTGACCTCTCATTAAAGACCTTAGATTTTTGGGGGGAATGAGACTAATTGGAAGATTCAAAGAATCTTAGAGACTCCCAGAGTTGATGCAGTGATTCCAAGCCCAACTACTTCTCCCCATAAAATCACCTTCAGAAGTAGGATTCCTAGGCAAAACTTCTGTAGGGCAGCCAGACTGTTTGCTCCCCAAGATCTGTAGGGTTGGGAAGGCAAATCAGAAGTTTCTCTCTCTCTCCCTCCAACCCCCTCAACCTCCCAGGGTATGCTGATTTCAACTCGGCTTTAGAGCTTAAAGTGAGTGGAATCCTTTTAGTAGAATCCATGAGGCTATTTAATCCGTGGGCGTTGGCTTTGAAGAAATACAATACTGTTTCAAAAAAGTAAAAGTTAAGATGTCTTCATTGGTGCTAGCAAATTTTCACCAGTTAAAATAACTTCCCTTCATTTGAGTATGTAAGGTGCTCAAAGAGTCAATTCTCAAAATTGGCTGAGGAAGCATTTTTATTCCAAAATTACCCCACTAGTCAATCAATGAACAAATAAGATCAACCCTTTTTACACTGGCCTTGAAGGAAAATATATTTCAGATTTATTTATTTTTGCTGAAAAGTTAATATTTCTAGTGCAAAAAAAGGTCTCTTGTTATTCCATCAATAATACGCAGCCAAAATGATGATAACAATGATGATGATAATGTGCTAATAACAACATAGATGTAGATCCAGGCTTGGAGTCAGAAAGACCTGAATTCAAGTCTTACTTCTGACACGCACACTGACTGTGTGACCCTGGGCTAGTCCCTTGGTACAGGGAAACTCTCTAAGAGTAGGTTCCTGAACAATTGCTCCATTGACAGAGGAAGTCTCTCCCCTCCAGGATTTTGCTGTGCTAATGAAATTACAGTACTGCACTGAGCCTCCAAACAAAAACCCCTCACCCTTATTAACCTACCAGTATTAGGATACATAGGTGGTACAGTGGATCAAATGCTGGTCCTGGAGTCAGGAAGATATGAATTCAAAGATGGCCTTAGTCATTTACTAGCTGTGTGACCCTGGACAAGTCACTTAACCTCTGTTTACCTCAGTTTCCTTAGCTGTCAAATGGGGATAACATTAGTACCTACCTCACGGAGTTGTGATGAAGATTAAATGGGATAATAATTGTCAAGCACTTGGCATAGTGCCTGGCACAGAGTAGCATGTGACAGTGATGATGGCCACCACTTTACAGAAGTGAGCTGTTCAGAGTCACCTAGTCAGTATGCATCAGAAGTGGGAATTAGAGCTGTCTTCCCGACCTCAAGTCCGGCCCCTTAGCATTCAGTGAGCTTGAAACCATGAAGACCCGGTTTCAAATTTGATCTCTGAGTCTGTTTCCTTGTCTATAAAGGGGAGATAATCATAGCATCCACCCTATGGGGTTGTTGGGAAGATCAAGTGAGATAAATTGTGTAAAATTGGTTGATTAAAGTGGTTTGCAAACCTTAACATCATATTAAGTGTTCACTACTCTTATTGTTATACTAAGCTGTCTCTCATAGAAAACCTAGTGACCTATTACCCTATTGTCCTTCTGAAAGTAATCTTTCCCACCCATTAACATCCTGGTAGAGCACTTAAGAGCATTTCATTTTGGGTCATCCTCGAAGGAGGAGGGAGCTGAGAAACACGTCCAAGGACTTTTCTGGTGACGTGTTCTTGGGGGCTCAGAAGGAGAACACGTCAGCCAGCCTTGGTCCCAGAGCTGTGCATGCTCTGGCTGACTGCATAGCTTGGCTCTGTGTAGTCAGGGTAGCCTTCCACTTGGGTTTCAAGCTGGAAATGATTCTTGCAGCCAGGCAACAGGATCTGTAAACAGTTGAAGGAACTGCCTCCTTGTTCCTCTAGGAAATAGCAGGACTCTGCAAGGCCTGATGTTTCCAAAAACATAAGAGAGAAGAGTGTGTGTGTGTGTGTGTGTGTGTGTGTGTGTGTGTGTGTGTGTGTGTGTATAGGTGGCTGAGAGATTCTAAGAGAAGGGGAGATGAAAGCAAGAGGAAACAAGAAATTATGGGCCAGAGGCCCCCATGAGAAAGTTGATCTGCATATGGGCCATATGATCATAGGCTATAACTGGAAGGCACCTCACTGGGGCTGTCAAGTGTCAAGGGCATTTTACAGATGAAGAAACTGAGAGATAAGGAATCGAAGTGATCTGTGCAAGGTAGCCCTGTTAATCAGTTAGGCATCAAACCTGACTCCAGGGTCGTTGCCTTTTCACTACACTGCTTCTAATTAATGTCAGACTTCTCTCCTTGGAATGATCTATCCTTCATATGTGACGGAAGACACATAATGATGTAACGGATAAGTACACAGACTTTGAGTCAGGAAGACCTGCATTCAAATCTTGCCACAGGCACTTATTAACCCTGTAACCATAATATGGATGGGGTGGGGTGGGTAACCTCTGAGACTCTGGTGATTCTCCAAGACTTACCTACTAATTAGAGATGATTTGCATCTGAGTAGATGTGGGAAATGGTGTCTAATAAGTATTGGTAGATTGATCTTCCGCATAAAAGATTCTTGATAATTTCCAGGTTATTATCATGGAGTTCTGCTACCTGTGTAACATCTATGGGTCTCAGTTTCCTTGGGGGTAAAATGAAGGGGTTGAATTGGAAGGTCTCTGAGGCCCCTTTCAGGTACAGACCTTTGGTGCTATTAGTTGGAGAGATGTCCATGAACACCAGAAAGTTCTGTGGTAGCCAGCAGAAGACAACTCCCCTGATGCTTCCAGTGGGTGCAACCTGTAGAAAACAGGGGCAGTTTCTTAGGTCCTCATCACCTTGAAGACTGGGTGATGAACCAGGA